GGGCTCAGCGGGGCCCGCGGGGCGGGCAGGGCGCGCCCGCGGGGCCGGGCCTCACCTGCAGTTCTCCTCCTGCAGCTCCTCCACCTGCGCCTGCAGCCGCTGCAGCTTCTGGGCGCCGCCGGCCTGCAGCCGCTGCCGCAGCGCGCGGTTCTCGGCGGCCAGGAGCGCCTTGTCCTCCTGCAGCGCGGCCACCTGCGCGCCAGGGGACAGGGAGGGGGCCAGGAGAGCACGAGGGGGGCCAGGATCCCCCCCAGGATCCCCCCCAGGTGAGCACGAGGGGACCCAGGTGAGCAGGATCCCCCCCAGGTGAGCAGGATCTCTCCAGGCGCCCAGAACCCCCCCCAGATGTGCAGAACCCCCCCCAGATCGCCGCGCCCGCGCCGCGTCCGGCACGTGCCGCTCCGCCAGCGCCCGGCCCAGCACCTTGGGGAGGGGTCCGCGTCAGAGCCCCCCGCCCCGGGGAGCCCCCCGCCCGCGGGGAGTCCCAAACCCCCCCCGGGGCAAAGCTGGGGGTCCCCGGGGCGGGACCCCCGCCCCACACTCACGTGCTGCCAGTACTCCAGCACGCTGTGCAGCAGCCGGCGCAGGGCGTCCGCCTGGGGAGGGGGCACCAGGTGGGGACCCCCCGCCCCGGGACCCCCCCATCGCGCTGGGGCAGCACCCAGGGGCGCCCCGGAATGGGGGGAGCACAAAGACCCAGCCCCAAAAAAATGGGGGTGTTTCAAATGCGTTCCCGTAAAGATCGATGTGACCCCCCCAAATCAGTGACCCCCAAAAGCCCCCCCAAAATCAGCGACCCCCAAAAGCCTCCTCAAATTACTCCTCCCCAAAAGCCCCCTCAAATCAGTGACCCCCAAAAGCCCCCCAAAATGAGTGACCCCCAAAAAGACCCTCCTCCAAATCAGGGCCCCACAAAAGCCCCCCGAGACCCCCGGGCCGCTCTGCCCCCCACCCCGGGAGGTCACGGGGGGCGACAGCGCGGCCTGAGTCACCGGGAGGGGAAACCCGGCCCCGAAATCCCCAAAAAAACCCCGAAATCCCCCAAAATCCGCGCCCCGCCTGGCCCCGCCCCCCGCGCCTGCGCGCGTGGGCGGGGCCGGCCACGCCCTGAGGGGCGGGGCCACGCGGGGTCACGGGGGGACACGGACCCCACCCCTGGCGGTCCCGGGGCCTCTGGGGCAGATTTTGGGGGGCCCTTAGGGGGTTTTGGGGGGTTCTGGGGCAGTTCTGGGAGGTCCTCGGTTGGTTTTGGGGGTCCTGGAGTGGTCTTGGGGTGATTTGGGGGGGTCCTGGATTGATTTGGGGGGTCCTGGGGGTCCATGCAGGAGGGGGCGTGTCTATACGCGAGGGGGCGTGTCTGCGGAGAGGGGGCGTGTCCCCCGCCCGCCCAGCCAATGGCGCCGCGTTTCCGCCCCGCGCGGCCATAAAGCCGCGGTGCCGCGGGTTCGAGTCCCGCCGCCGCCGCTCCCGCATGGAGCCGCCGTTCTTCCGCCCCGCGCCCTTCCCGGGCGGCTTCTGCCGCGCCGAGCCCGACTACGGCTCCCTCCCGGGCCCGCTGCCGCCGGGCCCGCCGCAGGAGCCCTTCCGCGCCCTCAAACCGGCGCCGTGCCCCGCCGACGGCGCCTTCTTCGGCGGCGGCGGCGGCTCCGCCGCTACCGGCGGCTTCTTCTACGCCGCTCCCGGCGAGCGCGACGCCTTCAGCGGCGGCTTCGCCCCCGCGCTGGACGAGCTGCACCAGCCGGGGCCGCCCAACGTGGCGCTGCCGGAGCCGCCGGCGCTGAGCGCGGCGGGGCTGGCGGGGCCCTTCCCGGGG